CACTCGGAACCTCTACTAATGGGTTTTAGCAGGGCCTCTCTCGTCGCTAAACGGCCCAAAGCTTTTTTCTTGTTTTCGCGGCCCCGACCCGCCGGAAATTTTTGATCGTCGCTAAACGGCTTGCGATTGTCGCATTTTTCAAGCTGCCTTTCAAAAGAAAGCTTTTTGATGGCCGAGGAACGCGCGCCGGTCGCAAGCCGCTTAGCGACGAAGCGAAATTTCCTTCCTCTGGTGGCCTTTGAAAACAATGACGGCGCTGGGCCGTTTAGCGACGCTCTCCGAATTTCCTTTTCTCGGCTATGAAGCCTCCTTGCAAGCTAAGAAAAGCGGCTACTCGGAACCTCAACTAGGGTCCTGAGCAAGGGCCGCTAGCGAGGGCCTCTAGTAAAGCACCTTAGCAAGGGCTCTAGTAAGGGGCGCCTAGCAAGAGCTCTTCATGAAAGCTTTAGCAAAAAGCTTTGACTACAAGGCTTTGCGCCCGAAAAATCGTAATTTCGCGGCCGTCGGCCGCTGATAAACTGCTTGCGCGGCGCGATATCGGATCGGCCATCCGGGCGCCAAATCTAGGGGGTCGGGCCTTTTGGGGTCCGCCGCAAGCTAAAAAACGGCTACTCGGAACCTCTACTAATTGCTTGTAGCAAAGGCCCCTAGTAAGGGCCTCTAGTAAGGGCCTCTAGTAAAACTTCTACTAAGAAGCTCCGCGCCCGTGTTTTCGCGGCCGTCCGGCCGCTGATAAACTGCTTGTACGGCGCGATAGCGGATCGGCCATCCGGGCGCCAAATCCAGGGGTTGGGCCTTTTGGGCTCAAAAACGCGGCCACTCGGAACCTTTACTTCTGGGTTCAGCAAGGGCTCTCTCGTCGGCCCAAAGCTTCTCCTTGTTTTCGAGGCCCCGACCCGCCGGAAATTCTTGATCGTCGCTAAACGGCTTGGGATTGTCGCATTTTTCGAGCTGCTTTTCAAAAGAAAGCTTTTTGATGGCCGAGGAACGCGCGCCGGTCGCAAGCCGTTTAGCGACGAAACAAAATTTCCGCGCGCTGGGACCTCCAAAAATAAAGAAAGCGCTGGGCCGTTTAGCGACGCGCTCCGAGTTTCCTTTAAGCAGCTTAAGATTGGTCGCTCTCAAAGTCGAAGCCGCCTCCAAGCTTGCTGGCGCCGGCGGCGCGAAACTCGCGGGCTCTTGCTCGCTCTACCCCGGCGCGCCGTCGCCCGGCCGCGCTCGCCGTCGCCTTGCTCGCCTCGCGCTGCCGGGCCCGGCGCGCCCGTGCGGTCAGGGCCAACCAGACATCGCCAGGAGAAGCAAGAGGAGGAGGTCGGGAAAGCCCCTAGCGGTTCAGTTTCTTGAACCCTAAACTAAAAGAGCTGTGGCTGGAGTGGGTCGTGGGTGGGATATACGGCCCCCGCGGGAGCGAGCGGCTTGGGGTGGTTTGTTCCACCCGAGCGAGCGGACACATCTGTCACACCCTAAACCCTAAACCCTAAACCCTAAACCCTAAACCCTAAACCCTAAACCCTAAACCCTAAATCTTCTCTTCAATGGAGATTTAAACCCTAATGTATCAGTGTTTCCGATTTGGTTCGCCCCCCCTTGGGCTCTTCTGCTCCCAGAAGAGGATTCCTTCTTTTGGGAAAAGAAAGGTCTTAGGAAATGCCTTGGCTCTGTCCCGGGCTGGCTCAAAGCCTCTTCTTCGCTCTGTCCTGGGCCAGCTCCAAAAGCTGTTCTTAGCCGTCCCAGCCCTGCTCGAACCTCTTCTTTGGCCAGCCACTGATAAACTGTTCATACGGCGCAATGCAAAAAATTGCCATCCAGGCTCAAAATGCAAAGATTTGGCCATTTGGCTCCTTCTACGCTTGGCAAGCCGCTGATAAACTGTTCGTATGGCGCGATGTAAAAATGGCCATCCAGGCTTCAAATGTAAAGATCTGGCCCTTTTGCTCCTTCTGGGCTTTGCCAGCCGCTGATAAACTGTTCATACGGCGGAATGCAAAGATGGCCATCCAGGTTCAAAATGTAAAGATCTGGTCATTTGTCTCCTTTCTGGGCTTGGCCAGCCGCTGATAAACTGTCTCAGTGCAAAAATGGCCATCCAAGCTCAAAATGTAAAGATCTTGTCACTTTCTGGGTTTGGCAAGCCGCTGATAAACTGTTCATATGGCGCAATACAGAAATTGCCACTCAAGCTTGAATGGCCATCCAAGCTCAAAATGTCAAGATTTAGCCTCCTTTCTGGGTTTGGCCAGCCGCTGATAAACTGCTCATATGGTGCAATACAAAAATTGCCATTCAAGCTTGAAATGTCTAGGCCTCTTTTCCGGGCTTCGCTAGCCGCTGATAAACTGTTCATACGGCGCAATGTAAAAATGGCCAGCCAAGCTCAAAATGTAAAGATCTTGTCATTTGGCTGCTTTCTGGGCTTGGCCAGCCACTGATGAATTGTTCATATGGCGCAATTTAAAAAATTGCCACCCAAGCTCGAGAAGTCGAGATCTGGCCATTTGTTGCTGTTCGAAGAGCGTTTCAATTTCCTCTTGCGGAGCAAGATGCACTTAGCAACCGGGCTTGCGATGACTTCCAGAGTTGGGGAGTTTATCGCTCGCAACCCCCGTCTTGAAATTTGGAGAAACCGAAGAACTCGCCTATGTTGTGGGTAACCAATCTGGGTGGGTGGGAAAGCAAACAAAACTTCTCTCAATCCATTTGATATACCCTCTAGACCCTAAACCCTAAACCCTAAACCCTAAACTTGTTTATCTATATTAATTTAAACCCTAAAGGGAAAATGCGTTTAGTGCCCAACGATTTTTCAGCCCTCCAAAACGTTGGCCCTGTCAGCACATAAACCCTAAACTTTTTTCCCGATCCTCGTTTGCTGGCAGGGCCGTCATTTTGGAGCCTCTACTTGGCGAGCGGTTTTTCGTGGCCCTGTCGTGGTTTTGGGCCGCCGACCTTGAAAAACTCGTGGTTTTTTACGTTTTTCAAGTCACCCGTGCGACCCTCTGCGGACTTTGGGCTGGTCGACCTTCGAAAACTCGTGGTTTTTTGCGATTTTCAAATCGCCCGCGCGACCCTCTGCGGACTTTCGGCTGGTCGGCCCTCGAAAACTCGTGGTTTTTTGCAATTTTCAAATCGCTCGCGCGACCCTCTGCGGAGTTTCGCGTGGTCAAATCGCTCCCGCTCTGGCGCGGCGCTCGTTTTCTTGAAGCTGCGAACCTTAAACCGTCGCCGAGCCAGCGGGATTTGCTCCAGAGCGTTCTTAGCGCGAGCTCGAAATCGTGGCCGAGCCGTTGGAATTGCTTCTGAAGTGCTTCTCATTCTTCGAAAACTCGTGTTTTTTGCGATTTTCAATTCGCCCGCGCGACCCTCTGCGAAGTTTGGGCTAGTCGACCTTCGAAAACTCGTGGTTTTTTGCGATTTTCAAATCGCTCGCGCGACCCTCTGCGGAGTTTCGCGCGGTCGAATCGCTCTCGTTGTGGCGCGGCGCTCATTTTGACGAAGCTGCGAGACCTAAACCGTTGCCAAGCCAGTGGTAGTAGGTTCTCTCAAACCGGCTGGGAAAACCACTTTCCAGGTAATAGGCTAGTTCAGGCGCTGCAACCAAAGCTCCTGTTACAAAGTGTTGGCCAGCAGTTGCCAAGCGTTTTTTCGCAGATCAATGTGATGGGCAAGGCCCAGAGCGCGTGTTTTTGTTCAATACTAAATGAACTTTGCTTCATCAGGCCTCTACTTGCTGAAGTTGGCAACCAGGTTTGCGCGTTGTGCTCAAAACTGCTGCCACTTTGATTGATCGCGCGTTGCCTGCCTACATTCTAGCTTTCAAAAACCGCGTTTGCGCCCAATTTTCGCGGCCTTTTGTTTTTTTCGGCATCCTCACAGCCGTAGCGCGCAGCTCTTGGCCAAAAGCAGGGCTTGAACGTCGTGTCATCAGTTATGTTTTCGGCATCCTTTCAGCCGCAGCTTCCTCAGATTGACATCTCGGCCTCCTTTCAGCCGCAGCTCCCTCGGCGTACTTGCAGCCGCAAATAGCCGCTTGCCATGATCTGTTCTTCTCTTTCATTTCCTCATTCTTAGCGCCACCCCGCTTCGAACTCATCAGCGCTTCTCACTGACAAGGCAAACGCATAGACACTCATAGCCCGGTAAAGCCCGATGGCACTCACCAGAAACGTGTCCAGGCCAGAGTCAGGCGGAGGCGCCAGCATTGCCCGCACCCTCTGGAGCACCTTGACTGAGCAGTTGAGCTCCTGGTGGAAGCGCAGCGCCCCAGTCTGCGACTTCTGAGACGCATCCCAAGCTGTCGTCAGCATGGACGTCTCCACCACCAAGTCAAGGTCACCACCATGGCGCCCAGCCAAAAGCCTGCAGGGGACCACACTGGCAGCTGCAGAGCTCTCCACCATGACACGGATGGACGTTAGCATGTCAGCCACACAGAAGATCGTCTGGGACCACTCCGCATCATGGCTTGTGGCACGGCAAATCTTTACGGCGCACTCTCTCACCGTCTCCAGCTCTGCTGTCACCCAAGAAGCCAGAACGGGCTTTGTCAGGTGCTCCTCCAGCGTGCGCACCACATAGTCCAAGAAACCAACGCTCAGCTCCATGACCGCTGATAAGGCAGCGAGAGGCGCTTACAAGCCACGACTGGCACGACTGGATGTCACGGCAAGCAGAACCTTCAGCCTCCCGGTTTCGCAGCAAGTTGCAAAGCAATGATCCACGACAGGCATGAAGGAATTAATTTAATATGTTGTCGGGTTTCAGCTTAAGGCTTTGAAAGTAAAACCCTGGCTTCCGGGCATCCGCGCAGCTCTTGGCCAAAAACAGGGCTTGAACGTCGAGTCACATCATCAGTTATGTTTTCGGCATCCTTTCAGCCGCAACTTCCTCAGATTCACATCTCGGATCATCTCGGCCTCCTTTCAGCCGCAGCTCCCTCGGCGTACTTGCAGCCGCAAATAGCCGCTTGCCATGATCTTTTCTTCTCTTTCATTTCGTCATTCTTAGCGCCACCCCGCTTCGAACTCATCAGGGCTTCTCATTGACAAGGCAAACGCATAGTCGGTTTCCGCCCCTGCAGCAACAGAGCCAGCCTGAATGCCAAGATGGCTGGGCAGGCCTGCAGTTGGGCTTGGAGTCGACCCAGGCACTGCTCCCAAAATCAACTCAGCAGGCAGAACGCTTTCAAAAGCGCTCCAAGCATCCAGCGCCTCCTGTGACAACTTGGCAGCAGCGCGGGCCTTGGTCCTTTGTTCAGGCGGCTTGCTCATGTTGCTCCGGGCCATGGCTTTGATCTTCTCAGCAAAGGCTGTCTTGAAGGCCGTGGACTGGGCTGCCATGGGCTCCTGCGCAAAACTCTCGAGAAATCATAACTGACGCAATCCGCTGTTTGCCTGGCCAATAAGTGGGGATTAGGGGAAAAATGTTTTGCAAGACACTGCAACGCAATTGCAACTCGGGCGCCTTTGCTAAGCAAGCTGCGTGCTCTCCAAGGTTGACCAAAATGGGCATGCACATTGCTGGCAACTTCTCTGCTCCGCTCTTCAACGAAGTCAAGCTCACCGCGCTCACCTCCTGGGCGCACGTGATGCCCTGCTCAAACACGGCCTGGTTCCCTCCAACTTTCTCCTTCTGGGCGCCTTTTCCTCCACCTTTGCTGGCACGCTTTGCTGCGCGCTGCTCACAGCTAGCCACCGCCTTCTTGAGCTCCTTCAACCCAGCATTCACAGAATTGCTGAGTTCACCAAGCGGCTTCCGGCTCACTGCGCGTGTCTTGGCGAGCTCTTTCAGCTCAGCTGCTGTCTGGCACTTCCAGAAAGCGTCCACGCTGTCCTTGTGGGAAGAAAGGCATGTCAAAGATGCGTAGCTGGCGCAAGGGGGAGCGCTTTGGAGTTGCGCCTGCCAAGCTGTGGACGGTTCTGTCGCAGATGCTTTAGCTGGGGAAGTTGCTGCTGGCGGCGCGCTGTTCGCCTTGGGCTCCTCATACTTCTGGATGAGGGACGTCAAGCCTGAACCTTGGGGGGAAAGAACAGCCTCAAGAAACTCCACTCGCTTCGTCAGGGTGCTGTACTCCACCTTGACTTCGTGCAAACAGGGCTTTGATTGCACCTCTTGGAGGTATTGCTGGCATTCGTCCAGGCGAGCTTGAAGCTGAAGCTCCATGGTGCACAAGGCGGTGCCCTCAGTCCGAACACGGCTGGCAATGGCAGTGTCGCGATCAAACCACACTTTGGCTTGACCTCTGCCACCTTTGCCTTTCTGGCCGCCCTTGCTCCCAGTCTTGGATCCATTCGGGGCCTCGGGCTCAGACTCCGAAGCAGACCCTTGCTCCCCTTCCGCTGCCTTAGCCGCTTCTGCTGCAGCCTCCTGAAAAACAACATCATTCTGCAAGCCGGCAACAAGCAATGACACAGCAAGAGAGACACTGCTTCAAGACAGGGACACAGACACACGCGCTGCGCACACAGGGCACAATCAGTGACCCAGTGAAGCCGATCCAAGAAAATTACTATTCACGGGACATGGCTTCATGCGAAACGAGAGCTGCGAGTTGCGAGCGTTAAGCGTTCTTCTCCTCCTCTTTTACTAGCTCGTCCAAGTTCACCTCCATGGCCTGGCCGATGAAAGCGTTGCCTGCAGCGCTCTGCCCAGCTGCGCGGATCATGCCGCCGGCAAGGTCCTTAGCATCCTGCTCGTCGTTGAACGAACCGAACTTCTCGTTGTTCTGGAACAACGCTTTCTTCTTGGCTGCAAGTTGAGATTCTGTGATCCCCTTTTCCTCTTTCTCCTTCAAAACTGCCCCTTTCGACTTCTCAAAGAAGTTGGCCAGGATGACCTTGTCATGAACTGGCACTGCTATTCGCAGGCATTTGTTCTTCCCCTTCCAGTCATGGACGGGATCGTTGGTCTCACCGTCTGCTTCCACAGCCGCCTGCCAGGTAGACCATTGAGAGACGGCTTGCGCTCGAGTCAAGCGGCCGTTCATCTCCGTCAACACCTCCGTGGCGTAGCGCAAGTACATGTCCTCTGGCATCATTTCGCACTCCGTTTGAAAGGTGATTCGCGAACCTGCTACCATCGTCTCCAAGGACTGGAAAAGCGTTGAGGAGTTCACCTGCACGAAGCATGGGATTTCAATCTTCTTTGAAAGTACAGGAAGCAGTTGAAGCATTAGCAGACCCAAATCGCAAAATAAAACCTTGCCTTGAACAACTACCAACGCACAAAGGCGTCCAAGCTGAGTTATTCATGAGCACGCCCGGCCTTTTTCTTGGAGCCCTCCCCGTCATCTCCTGTCACGTCCCTGTAGGCTTTGAGCAGGCGCTGAACTTTGTTTTCATCCTGTCTCACGGTTTTGAACCACTCTGTCTTCTGCTGGTTCTTCGCCAGTCTTCCTAACTGGTCCAACTTGTACTTATCTTTGTGGCAGAAGGCTTGGTTGAAGGACATGCCTTCCTGGGAAAAAAAAAGCCCGCACCCTCGGCAACGCCGAGAGTGTGTCTTGCTTTGCTTTTTCACTCCCTGGGCGGACTTGTCGGACTTCTTCCCGCTGCTTTGGCTGCCCTTCTCCTGGTTCTCCGGGCCTGCACCTCGCTTTCGCTTGCTGCCTTTGTTCTGCCCTGCCGCTGCCTCGCCCCCTTCCTCTGCCTCTTTCATTGCCTCGTCGTCGCTGGCGTGAACGCCTGCCTCTGTGAACAGGTCTTCTGGCATCATGTCCACCGAGAGGTCCATTGCCATTATGGCTGCAAAACAAGAAGCTGGCCCCCTCCGGGGAAAAAGCTGCAAGCAAGATGCGGGCGGCAACGCGCAGTGGGATTTCAAGCTTCTAACAAAAACACCTGTCACCTGCCACTGCGTCTCTGTCATTTGAAGACTGTCGCTCTCAGCATGCTCTGGCGCCTCAGCATACTTTCAGCTGGACAAAGGAGGTAGAAAAGCGCTGGAGGACATGAAGTTGCAACTGCTGTCAATGGCAGCTGCTTTTCCCAGACGTGGCTGCCTGGAGCCTTCAACTTGGCCGTGTTCTGCATCCTTTCAGCTGAAGAAGACAAGACAAAACACGCAACATGAAAACAGCATCCTTTCAGCTGCAGGAGTGAAAGCTTGCAAAATGAAAGCAACTCGGAGGACACAATGCGGCCGGGCAGCCTGCAGCTTAGAACTGTTTGCTTTCGGCCATCACTTCTTTTCAACCACACGCTCATTGCGCGGCTCTCCGCCCGCCAGCTTGGATCTGGCTATGGGCTGAACTGCTTCACGGAGACGACGCCGTTCTCAATCTTGATGTTCATCAAGCCTCCGTCATCCAAGGAGATCGAAGAAAAATGATCGAACTCTTTCACCACCACTTGTGCTGTCTGCGGCCCTTCATTGCTCGCAATTACCCGATGGCCACAGACAGCGCCCACGTCTTTGGAAGGAGTAGCAGTTGAATGCGATGATGTGCTGGTAGCAATGCTGGCACTGGCAGCACTGGCTTCAGCTATGTCTTCAGGCTTCTTCGGCACCCTTGCACTTGATGGTGGCAAAGGCTTTCCTTTCTTCTCGCCCGCATTCACGAGGAACCCCTTCTTCAGGCCAGTGAAGCCAGGCATGGCTTTCAGCGGCAATCTGAGAGGCGAGCACAGTTGGAAAACAGGATGGCCCAAAAGCTTCAAATGGCGACCAGCAAAGGCCCAAGTGATTAGCGCAAAGCAAAGTCTTCATGTGGTATCATGCTGCACGCTTGGTTGCTGCCAAACACGCCTGGCCGCACGGACCATTGCTTGTTGTAGCCCAGAGCTGACCACTGCTTGTTGCAGCCCAGACAACACTGTGAAAACAAACACCACAACGCCATTGAAACTTTGAGACAACACTTTGAGACAGATCTCTTTGGTATTGTTTTCTGTGGGCAGCAAGCTTCTAGCAACTGTCTAAATCTAAGAACAAAACTTGGCAGTCAGTGCTGCCACGGATGTCAACCACTTGTACTCCTTGGCAGTCGTGGATGATCTGCAGCTCCACGGCATGCTCCGCAAAGGCGCTTGGCCGAGCACCAACAGCAGCATGGTTGCCGCTGGCGCTCGCATGCGTGGCTTGGGCCGGGGCCTCCTCATCGTTCTGCTTGCCAGGATTCTCTTTGCTAGGGTCCATGGAGTCCAAAGTCTTGCGCTCGGCAAGGAAGGCAGCAGTTTTTGGGAAAAGCCCGCGCGTCTGTTCATCTGTCATGTGCCTGCGGCGCCGCGCCACACGCGACTCAAACTCAATCGCTTCTCCTTGGCTGCCTTGGCTTTCGTCTTGAAGTGACTGGCTTGTCTTCGCACAAATCTGGGAACTTTCGCTGGCAGCACTGTCCGTGCCGCCAGGCTTCCTCTGAAAGGAGAGGCTGCGCTTCATGGCTAGCGTGGGAAGCAAAGAGCGAAACGCGCACGAAAGCACTGTGGCAAGCGCTAGTTGCAAGTTGTCAGGGCAACTTCTATGAGCACACATGCAAATGCGAAATAAGACACGCCAAGCACTACGACCAGAGATTTCGGTTCTGATATCTGGCAACTGGCACGGCGTCCTTGCAGCCGGAAACAGTAGCAGTAGCGGCATCCTTGCAGCCGGAAATAGCCGGAAGGCAGGGAAGGGATTGTCTAGCGGCAGCAAATGGGCGAGTAGAACCAGAAACGCTCAAGTGGGCAAATATCTGGCGGCGTCCTTACAGCCGGAAACAGTTGCGGCATCCTCGCAGCCGGAAACAATAGGTCACCAGGTGACATACCTAGCTGCGCAAAAGGGCCCCTCACATGGCCACGGAACGTGAGTGGAACACTTAATACTTAATATCTTCTCGCAAGATAAACCGACCGGCATCCTTGCAGCCGCACTGAACCTGCTGGAGCTACAGCGAGTTGATGATTTTTGGTCAGCTTCTGCTTTTTTCACAATCTGGCGGATTCAGGACTGCCACTTCGTGGACGCAAGTGCGTAAAATATTGACTTGCCAACGCAAGCCGCGTTCATGCCGTTGCCTGACATGGATTGCAACTTGCGTAGTGGCACATCGGCTCTGGCGAGCACCGCTTGCAGGTTGCAGGACTCCAGGGCTGGGTGCTCTGGAGGCAGAAGTATCGGCAACGCTTGCATTGCCAAGCACTCCCAAGGGTGAAGCAAGCGACCCCTATTTTCGTTCTGGCAGTCCAGGTAAAACTTAGACCCTCTCAAAATGGCCGGCATGGTCAGCGGGGGCAACTGCACGCGGGGCTGGAAGGACTCGGTCTGGCTTAAGTTGACAAGCCAGCAGTGCGACTCTGGAAGGCCCTTCTCGCGCACGGCTCTTTGCGCTTCCTCGCGCATGTGGGCCCAGACCCTTCTTTCAGAGGAGGTCATGAGCGCTGGCCAGTGCCAAGGAAAAAGTCCTCCTCGTCTCGTGGTTCGCATTGGCGGCAGCCCTCGCTTGATGGCAAGGTCTTTGTTCAGCTCGTTCAACATGTCGGCTCATGTCGGCGGACGCCTGAAAGAAAATATGCGCGTCCGCCACCTGGCTTGCAAAGAAGTACTGCTGCAAGGCGTCATAGTTGAAATCAAGCTTTCGGGTGAAGGACGCCAATCGCCGGCATAAGGTGTAGCGCCGATCGCGGCTGATAGGCAGGCCATGCGCACTTGGCGACCAAACCACACTTTCCACGCTGTAGCATTGCTCTTCTGCATTAAGAACCAAGTCGAAGACAAGCGGGGTGAAGTCCGGCACATTTTCGTGCAAGATCATGTCAGGTTGCGCTCGCTTCAGAGAGTGTAGCCAAATAAAGACGGGAACTGACACCGGGTGCAGCCATGACAGACCTGTGCCATAAGCGCCCTTACAAAATGGCACGCAAGGGCTTCCAGCGATTTCCAGCCACACTGCATTGGCTCTCTCACGTGTTCCAGGAAAGCGCCTGCACTGCTTTTGGCAGCCACGGCAACACATCGCATCTGACAACTCTGCACTATCCAAGACGCTGGCAGCTTTGCGGCACCAGTTCCTACAGGCTTTGGCTAGCTCGGCCTTGTAAGTGGTCGATTGCTGCTTTGCCTGCACTTGCCTTCGCAAAGACTGCAGATCTTTAGCCAACGACGTCACAAGCTCTGGCGCTGCCACGTTGGAAACATCGCCGAAAAGGTGCTGGCTCTTGCATGGGAAGCCTTCCATGGCTTGCAAGACGCTCACGCAGGCCTTGTCGATCTCGCAGGAGCAATACACCTCAAGGCAAGTCCGGTCGGCAGGCCAATGACCACTAGTCTGAAGCTCCCTGCAAATCATGGCGGCGGCAATCTCCGCGGTGCCAATCCCGGCGAAGGAAGTGGTCACAAGCAGCTTCTGCCGGCTTTGCAAGTTTGCAGCGACTTCGCGGCGATGCTCGCCTGAGGTCATTCTCTGAAGGAACTCCTTCGGCCACATGCAGCAATCTCCCAGCGTGCGTGGCCCAGACGGCGTGGGCTCTTCCATGGGGCAAGGGCGCTTCATTGTGTTGCGACTGTTAAGAAAAATGTGTGTGTTTTGGAGCAGCTAGCAACGCATGGCGCTTGTGTGTCTGTGCTCACAACGTGGTGCTGAGGGCTGCAAAAATGGAAAGTGAGCTGAGTTGCATCATATATACGGCATGTCTCGAACCGGCTGAGTTGATGCAAAATACAAGCAAGTGAAGGCCTACAAGCTGAAAATGCCGAAAATGTTCTCGATTCAAGCTCCTGCGCATCTCTACGCTTCAAAAATGCTGCAAAAAGCATCAAACAACATCTCAACAAGGCTTGGGACAAGCATTTATCTGCCAAAAGCACTCGACAAGGCTAGAAATCTATGATTTTCAAGCAAAAATGCTCACAACTCCGGCTCGCACGCATCAAAACGCTTAAAGACGCTGCAAAACGCATCAAAAAACAGCTCAACAAGGCTCGAGACCAGCATTTATCGTATCAAACGCATTCAACAAGGCTAGAAAAGTAGATTGTCAGACAAAAATACTCACATCTCAAGCTCACACGCATCAAACCGTCAAAAACCTGCAAAAATATGTGTTTCGAATATCAAGAAGGCTTGAGACGAGCATTTATCGTGTCACGAGTGCCCCAAGCATTCAACAAGGCCAGAAATGTATGATTTTCTTGGAAAAGCCATCACTGCGTCAGAAATCAACATTACTCCTTTCACAGGGTTAGTGCTCTTCAGCAATGGAAGCAACATCAACAAGAAGAGAGCAATGGCAGGCCAACCAAGACAGGTCAAGGGTCCACAAGGGTCATTTAAACAAGTGCCCTTTTTTCAGTCTTCGCCGATGGCCCTGGCTTTCGCATTAGAGAAAAGGGGGCTTGTTAAAAGTTAAAACGACCTCTGTGGACTGTGGACCCTTGACTCGACCTTTCGAGCAACGGTCGACGGTCGAGCAACGGTCGAGCAACGGTCGAGCAGCAGTCGAGCAGCAGTCGAGCAACAGTCGAGCAACAGTCGAGCAACAGTCGAGCAACAGTCGAGCAACAGTCGAGCAACAGTCGAGCAACAGTCGAGCAACAGTCGAGCAACAGTCGAGCAACAGTCGAGCAACAGTCGAGCAACAGTCGAGCAACAGTCGAGCAACAGTCGAGCAACAGTCGAGCAACAGTCGAGCAACAGTCGAGCAACAGTCGAGCAACAGTCGAGCAACAGTCGAGCAACAGTCGAGCAACAGTCGAGCAACAGTCGCAACAGCAACAGTCGAGCAACAGTCGAGCAACAGTCGAGCAACAGTCGAGCAACAGTCGAGCAACAGTCGAGCAACAGTCGAGCAGCAGTCGAGCAGCAGTCGAGCAACAGTCGAGCAACAGTCGAGCAACAGTCGAGCAACAGTCGAGCAACAGTCGAGCAACAGTCGAGCAACAGTCGAGCAACAGTCGAGCAGCAGTCGAGCAGCAGTCGAGCAACGGTCGAGCAACAGTCGAGCAGCAGTCGAGCAACAGTAGGGCTATTTGGGGGGGTGGCCTGGAAGAGCGGTTACGATTTCTTACCTTGGTCTTGCTCCCTGCAAGTTTTTGCTGGACCCACGCAGGTCTGCAGCAATTCATAAAGGTGTTCAGTGTTTTTTCTTTATATGCCTTGGTTCTTCTCCAAAGCAATAGAGCCGCTTGCTTTTGTGACAGTCTCATGGAGTTGTTCCTGTTTATGACTGGTTTCATTGTGTTAGGGCCAGTTCACTAATAATCTGCTCTGGTTCTTTTCCAAAGCAATGGATTTGCACGCGTTTTTTATTGTTTGATGTGCTTCTTGCTGCTTATGATTGGTTTCAATGTGCATTCTATCAAATTTCCTTTGATTCTGCTCTCAAGCACTGGAACAGCTTCGTTTTTGGGTTGTTCTATCTGTCTTGGACATGTTGATTACAAAAAATGCGTGTTTTTTGCTGTTTTCTTGCAAACAGGTTTAGCTCATTGCAACTTTGGCGCTTTCTTAGCCTCAAATCATTGAAAAGGATGGAAAAGGTAACGAAATCGCAGGCGCGGGGCGTTTTTTGGCATGATCTGCTTGATTTGTGTGCGTCGTTGCAGTTTTTTCGCTGCTGGAGCTTGAAAATGACTTAAAACGTAGTGAAATCGCGGCCGCGGAGCGTTTTTTGGCATGATTTGATCAACAATCGATCTATTTAGTGCAATTCTGCCTGATTTGTATGCGTCGTTGCAGTTTTTTCGCTGCTGGAGCTTGAAAATGACTTAAAACGTAGTGAAATCGCGGCCGCGGAGCGTTTTTTTGGCATGATTTGATCAACAATCGATCTATTTAGTGCAATTCTGGTGTTTTTTGCGCTTGAACTGATTGGAACCGTCACACAATGTTGCCCGTACCGCATAGACCAGTCGCACGCAGCAAGCAAGAAACTGTGGCTGCACACCCGCCACTCTCACAAACAGTCACAAACATACTCTCTCTCACACGTCGCACTCTCGGTCTCGCATTCCCGCAGCTCGCTTGCTTTTTCAAGCTCACATTAATCAGAGAAACATTTCAGGCAGGGCGGGGCGGGGCACTATCTTTGAACGCCCCACCAAACCAAGTTCGCAGAGCCATTTAAATTTAGAACAGGCCATCGCCATCGCAGCTCCAGAGCGGCAGCCTCGCTTCGCCAAAGCACGTTGCAGAAGCCTTCGCAGAACTTCCCTGCCAACTACGCAAGTGAAGAACCTCTAGCGGCGAACATGCCGGGGCCCTCCGCCACCTCCGCCTTTGCGGCCCTTGCCCTGGTTGCGCTTGCCCTGGTCTTTGCCCTTGCCTTTGACCTTGCCCTTGCCTTTGCCTTTGCCCTTCAGCTCCGCCAGGTTGGCCAGCGCAAACTCAGCGTAGCGGATCTGCAGCTCCAACGCCTCCATGGCTTCCCAGATCTCCTGGAACTTCTCCGCTGCTGCTTCCTCAAACGACTGCAGCATGGCCACCACAGCGGCTCTGTCAAGCCGCTCCATGGCAGGAGCGAGAACACTCACAAGCACAAAAAGCAGTCTGTCATGAGAACATTTTCTAGCGCACTCATGTAGAGTAGAGTTTTAATGCCTGCATATGCCTGTGCAACAGTGTTCTTTTCTTTCTCTCTCTCTCTCACACACCCTCACACACAATGTGCACTTCTGAACCCGCAGCTTGCTTTGAGAAATGTCGGACGTGTCCGGCATGCGCTGAAGCAACGCAGCAGAAAATCAACAACGGCATCCTTTCAGCCGGACATGTCGCAACAAATCAAGGACGGCATCCTTTCAGCCGGGCAACTTTCAAAAAGTCAATGGCGGCATCCTTCCAGCCGGATCAACGCAGGTTCCGCTTATCTTTTCTCTCTTCCTCCTTCATTCGCTACCACGACGAGGAAGCACGTTCTTCTCCTCCAGGCCGCGACGAGGAAGCACGTTCTTCTCCTCCGGGTTCAGGTTGACGTTGGTCTGCATGCCATTGCCACTGCCAGCGGCCTTTGACACACCTCTGCACCCAGCGTCCGCTTTGCCATTGCCACTCCCACTGGCCATCAGCCATGACTTGGCGCCAGCCACCAGTCTGGTAAGCAGCAACGGCCGCGGCGTCGCCACGAGCTTCAGCCGCCTGCTCCTGCTGCAGCTGGTCTCGCTCATCCTCTTTGCGCTTCTTTCGGCGCTGCCTTGCCCCATACCCGGTGCGGCTCCACCTCTTTGGCTCGGGCTGCCTTGCGCGCGCCTTCGGGTGCGCGTGGGTCACTGCGAGCCTTGTCCTTTCTTCCGCCAAGCACAGGGACTGGCGGCTCATCCCAGCGTATTGCACCTGCCGCGGCCGGTCCGCTGCCATGTGGGCCATGCGCTCCGGAGACGGCGGGCACGCGGCAGCAACAGACCCGGCCACAGCTTCTGCAAGCGAAGGCACCGTTCGCGGTGGTCCGTCAGGTGAGTCCATGGCGACGGTCGAGCCTTAAGTCAGCCTACGTCATGCTGTCGCGCTGTCTGTGTTTGTCTGGAGGCTGCGTGCGGATTGCTTGCGGATTGCTTGCTGACTTGTCATGCTGCTGCCACGGCGGATGTGCGCGTGGCGTTGCGCTGCTGGCCGCCACAGCTAAGAACTCCTTGGCTGAAAACTCTATGTCGCAAACCGAACAAATCAAGCCTCGCGCATGCCATGGCCGGCATCCTTGCAGCCGGAGTATTTTACACATAATGTAACATTCATCTGAAACGCAAGGTAATCTGCCGGCATCCTTGCAGCCGGAATAATTTACACATAATGCACCATGTATCTGAAGCGCTAGCAGTAATCTGCCGGCTTCCTTGCAGCCGCAGGCGGCATCCTTGCAGCCGCAACTGGACGCATTGCGTGCACAAATCAAGGGACTTGAGGCCACAAGTAAAGCAAGATTATATTTGCTGCGCAGCTTGCGCAAAGGCAGTGTGGAATCTCACTAAGACTAAAGTGTTTGTTATACTCATAATGCTTCTTCGCGGCATACTTGCAGCCGGACCTGTCTGCATTGGTTGTTTTGTTGCAGCCTAAAGTTGAGAAACAAGAACAGCCCCCGAACAGAGACGAGGAGTGTCTTTTGGCCGCCTGGACAGACGTGATGCGCGCAATCAGTCAGAGTCAGAAGCAACACTGCTGGAACTAGAGCTCGTTGATTCACTGCAAGAACTGCTGCTGTTACTGCCGCTGCTCTCTGCGGCAGGAACAGGTCTCGCCTTTGCAGCGGCGTTATTTGCTGCTTTGGGCTTGGCTTTGCTAGATCCTTTTGGCTTAGCTTTGGCCTTGCTCTGTCGCTTGGCAATGGCTTTAGGCGCTGCTTCAGCCACCTCGGCAGCATCGAGATCAGCGTCATTCGCGGGGGCTCCAGGGGCGTCCGCTGCAGGAATTACTCTGGCCGCAATCAAGCTCTCACTTGGGCAAGTGGCGGGGGCAACATTGAAAGCTAAGTGGTCTCGCTGTCTGCAGAAGTTACGGGCTTCGTTGCACCAGTGCTTGAGACAATTCAAAACAAGGGTGTA